GAAATGCACTAAAAAGTATAAAATAATTTCTATTTCCTAATGAAGTGATTTCTATTTCATTCAATCATACAATTACGTAACAGATATGAATGAAACCAATTTACACGTTAGGTAGTATATTAAATACATTTCAACCTTTTCGGAGGCGGCGCAAAAATAAAAGATTTTCTTGAACATGTCAACCTTTGGACAGCCGAACATAGGCAATACTTGTATAGCTATTTCTTTTTCTATACATATAACTCGACAGCATGCCGCGAAGTAGGTGTTAATGCGTATAGAATGTAACTATGATCTATCTAGCCCTTTGCGGACGGGACGGTTCGAAGTGAACCATACCGTGGGGCCGAACTCCTGCCGCGATGGTCATTAAAAATTGCCAGCGCATATTTCTGCTTAATCGCGGTTTTCGTTCATAGCATTCCAAGTCAAATTCTGGACATATTGTATGTACATGCACAGATTTCCGTGCATGCACACATGTACGCGTTTCTCGGCTCTATCAGTTGTTTTCGCGGAACGCATATATGAGTTCTTCAGCCAATTTGACGATTTACGCAGAACGCATATATGCGGTGGTAGTCCGCAAAGGGATAGATTCATAGAGTATGCGACGGAAAGACTCGATCGCCGCATATGCTATAAAGATAGAGTCCATCTGCCGCAAATTTGGTAATTCCCGCGTCGTGGGCTCCGTTTATAGGTTCTTAGATCCCTGGCTTCCACATGCGAACGAAGTCGATTCAATTTCATTTATATCAGAAACGTTGCGAAATGAGGATGCAGTCGTTACATTTACGTATATTACCAGATATATCTATAATGGTTCGTATTCTTTCTCAGGATTTATTAATTTCCAATACGCCATACCACAATCAACTGGTTATTGGCAGCAACGTTTACTGAGGTATTTTTAATTTTGCACCGCCTTCGAAAAGGTTGAAATGTATTTAATATACTACCTAACGAGTAAATAGGTTTCATTCATATCTGTGACGTAATTGCATGATTGAATGAAATAGAAATCATTTTATACTTTTTAGTGCATTTCGAAGTCGGTGTATTTTTTTTCTTAAAATTATTTTATGTTTTATTAAGTAATCAAAAGATTGACTGTAATGATAATAGAAGTGAAGTAGTAATAAAGTAAGATACCGTTGTCTTTAAAAGCTAGAAGGGGAGGATTCGATATAGAATATTGTTTTTCGGGGTCGTAATATATATTAAGCATACTACTGTAAATCCTTCGCTCAACGTAAAACCTCTGTTACTATTCAATATGATCAGGTACAATAATTTCTGCGTTCGTATAGACGTTTTATACCAGTTGGTGTTATACCTGTAATTATAGACAACGATAAATTGCGCACTGAGAAAACCTGTACAATTTGAAAAGTGTCAGCTACAAACTAAAACAGATATTAATATTGTCGAGTATTAGTTGAAAAATGTCAATATATTCGGAAAACTAATAATCACAACCTGGAAAATTATAGATGTACAAATAATGAAGCCAATGATGCCCAAACAATTTCAGTAATTTTAGAATTACTTATTTGTGTCAAATACGGGTGCAAGTAAATTGACCAATACAAACATTCTTCTGTACTTGAATAGATCTTTGTTTCGATCGAGTTAGAAACACATCGATATAAAAATACGTTTAATGCCTGATAATTACGATATAATTTGGACACAGTCTAACCTGGAAATAAACCAGCGATATACAAGTTGAACATGATTATGTGTGACTCTGTTGCAACTATAATAGTTATGTCCACGATCAGTAATAGATATAGCAGAATGGCGTTGAAAATAGGGTATTGCTCTTCGTTAATCAAGAAATTGATATCTATTGGAAAGTTATTTAGACGAGACGCATTTAAGGGTACAATTTCATCCAAAATAATAGGTAAAATATGGTGTAATATCATTATACACAATCCTGGGTAAAAAAGAGCTAAAATACGTTCCATATATGATCTGAAAAAGTATTGAAATTAAAAACTTTTTAATATTTACCTTACCCGTAAAAACTATTAAGATGCGTTTTCCATAAAATGCGCAGATCTGCATAATTCGAAGTACTTTGATGTCATTCGTCTCCCAGGCAAGTCTGATTTGATATAAATATTCCTTTATCTACAGCTCACAATAATAATTATTAGAATTTGTACACATGAATTTAATCTCTATATGCGACTTACATCGTCGATCTGATACCAGGTTGTGTGGTATTTTAGAAACACAGCCATTGCCATTGCTGCAATTGATATATTCCTAATTGTAAGTTGCCGAAACACGGCTGTGTCTTCCATATAACACAACAGTGTCGTGAGACCTCGTCATGCGGCTTAGACGATGTTTTTGTCTTTTGACGTCCGCTTCCCACAGCTCATCGAAATGCGGTGCATTAGGAGGTAAGAAGTGCCATGGAATACCTTTAAAGCCTAACGAGTTATGAAAATTAAAATCTTTTATCGTGGTCATGTCGACAGAAGTAAGTTCACGATTCGCCCCATGGGGTATGGTACCGTTTCCGAAGCACTTTGTTGCCTTTGAGAAATCGCTTCGAGACACAAATCTCTTATACGCCGCTATGAAGATGGCCAAACTATAACCGTTTATAAACTCAATCTGCTCAGCTTTTGTGGTCAAACAAACAAAAACTGCAATAAGGTGAAGTAGGGTAAGTGCAAACTAATTTTTGTAAAGTTCGTATTTAATGTAAGTATTTTCAGTCTGCTATGTAAATACTTAACGCTGTCACTTTGCACAATTACTACTATTTAATTAATATTAACTGGGACCTTAATTTTCCTTGTACATTTTGATTTTGATAGGAAATTGTTTAAAATGTCAATTACTAACTAAGAACGTAAGAACGTAAGTTGAAGTTAAATACTTTGAAACTTTATTTCATGTGCAATGGGGCAAGAGCAGAATTATTAACAAATCTG